GTTATCCTGTTTTTCCTTGTTTTCGGCTATTATTTATTGTGGTGTCTTGGGAAGACAGGATTCCACCTTCTCACCTACACTTGTGAGTTGGGTACAATCAGCTAACCATTTTAATATTGACCAGGAGATCCACTCATTAGGACACATCAATGTTGGTTGTGTATCCTGAAGGTACCCGAAAACAAATATTCCCATCTACTTTGACATTTTTTAAAAAATTTCTTTATCATTGCCATATCCCAACTATTAAGGTTAGCAATTTTTTCATTTTAGCTTCATCGTGATGTATTAGTCATATAGCACGCCGGAAACACTTCTCTACCTTATCCATCCAGCTCTAATTATATGGGTAACATCTTCTTCAATCTCACTATCATTATGAATAATTGAGCTAAGACACTAGAACTCTTTGGCTTATCTATCTTAACAACCATCTCCACCATATTTGTGTTCTTACTAAAGTTTAGCTCATTTAAGAAGGAAAAAAACAACAATGAATATTTGGTTGCTTTTGAATGACTAACAGTATCATGTACAACTCTTTAGAACTCAAAACCTCCAGAAGGAAGTCTACTTTCCATGCAATTAACTCGTATGTTGGTTCTAATAACTTACATTTAGACCCATATAACTGGGAATAAAAATACAATAACCTTGCATTTGTAACAAGCTTGCTTTCGGATATCCCACAGCTCCTTCTCTCAACACACGGACGCAAAATAAGGAATGGATAGACAACAGCTGAAAATCTGAATGAAATGTCAACAGCATCACCGAAGGGTGGTTAGGGGAATCCCCCACTAGGGTGCAGGTCTAGAGGTTCAAACTCCTCTTATTAACAGATGGGCAAGCTCTGAGAAGTCCAATGTATGGGTCATATAGTTGAAGCCCTAAGAACTCTACGTAAATAAAGTGAAATCAGGGGAATAGAAGGAGGCTCTTTATAGGTTAGAATACAAACAAAGATTTACCATGAATGGAGAATCTGTAAACACTCAGACTAACTGTAAGTTCAAGTCACAGAAGCAATTCAGCAATTGACTCTTAAAATACAGCAGCCAATGGGGGAGACCGTATAAGTAGAACAGCCAATGAATGGTACATGCTGAGATCTTGTCATGTAACTCATATTTTCTTAGTGCTCCTTAAATGTTTTCCATAGCCAGGAGGAGCATTTGAGCAAATTAAGTGAGCATGAAAACTTCATTTCCAACCAAAAGGGAATATATTCTGGTTCATTTGCACAAAGGTATAATGATATTCGGAAAGTCAGCTTGTGACGCATTGGAAGCCAAAGCAGGTCTCCTGATTCAGAACACACAAAGAGAGATATCTATGCTTGCAAAAGCTTTAATTACAGACAGATCCAAGCCAAAATTAGCAATAACTACTGATTTTGAAACCTAAAAAAGAATTATATATATATATATAGCCAAGACCATGTGCAATGCATGGGATAGGAAGACAAAGTGACAAACTATAATGAAAAATAACAATATAAACAAAACCAGCATGCTTGCAGCCATGATATAAGTATATGGGAAACCGACATAAACCCGATTAATTAGAGCACACATACACCAAATAAGGATCTCTACTTCCCTTCCTCTTTGATGAACAATAGTTTAGGATATTAAGTGAGTAGAATAGTGTCATAGTAGTTGAATGTTAAGAGATGCTTTAAATTTAATTGATGGTCGAATATAGGTTTTCTACACATAGTTTTTAGTTTTTGATTGTTCAAAATTATCATTTACAGTTAAGAAAAATGAACCTAAATTGAATAATTATTTCACTATAAGCGCCAACTGATTTGGGTTCTGAGACCAAAATTTCATTCCACCATAGCCAGGAAAAAGAAAAACTAGCCTTCAGGTAGGACTGATCATGTATAACTTGTTTAGCTCGTGCTCTAACTTCGTTTGGATCAATCTTGGATTGGGGGCGGCTAAAAAAAACACCAATGACGAGACTTCTGGCCTTGAAGCATGTTGCCTGAAAGATGATTGGCTAGACTTTGGTTCCCTTGCTTGCAAAGCTAACAATCAAAGATTAATCAGTGAGAAAGATATAGATTGGAAGTAAAGTTCCTAGCACATGCTATAGCCAATCAAGCCTCTTATAGACAAACAAATGCACTCTAGATGTAATCCACCATGATTTCTTACTGTGAAAATTCAGCTAAATCAAGATCTTCATCTCTAGAGTCCAGTACTCCTGCAAACTTTGGTCACTGACCTATCAAAAATAAATAAACACCCTTGAGTAGAATCAGAACTATAAGCAATGATGATCAGAAACAACAAAAAGGAAAGTCACTCTTACAGTTTCAAAACACAAGAAATGGTTAAAATAACAAATTAGTATTTTTTCAATGATGGCCTCCAAAAGGTATCTCTCTCTCATCATCAGAGGGAGGGGAGACAGAGAGGCCACCAAAACAGAAGAATTGGATGTCTGCAAAAAAATTATATAAACATCATTTGAAGGTTGAAAAGAGAGAATGTGGTAACTAGTAGTGTAGTGGTGTAGGGTGCGTGAATGGTGATAAATGATTTTGAGTGTAGTGAGGGGTGAGGGGTGACTGTGAGAGCAGCAAAGGTTAGTGGTAAGAACATATCTGCATTAGAGAAGGGGAAAGGAGATTGAGTTGCTGCTCTTCTCAGTGGAGCTTTTGTGAGAGACGAATGAGAGATAGAGAGGGGGAAAATAGTTGGGCAAAGTTGTGCCTCTTTGTTGGAAGATGAAAAGCCTATTTGGAAATATCTTTTCATTGGAAGATGAAAAGCCTCCTTGGAAGAGGCCTCTTTGAAAACAACATGTCTTTGGTTCACGGGAAGATGAAAAGCTCTCTTTAAAAATGCCTAAGTAGTTAATGAGAGACCAATGAGAGAACACGGTGTGAGAGACCAATGACAGAGTAAGTGTTTGTTAAGGAAATTAACTGATGATGTGGCCTACAAAAGGAGGAAAAGGAGCTCAAAGAGGGATGCATTTATTAATGTAGATACTATTGAGGTGACGTGGCATCAAAAATGGAAAATGAAATCCAAAGAGGGATGCCACGTTGACATCCTATTTCTTTAGTATATAGTATATATATATCCCTGTGAAAATATTAAAAGTTGAAGCCTCGAAGGACTACTAACACTTGGACCCAATCCAATAACTAGCAAGAAAATTATCTGAATTCCTCATTTGTTGCGAGCTAGAAAGAATGGATACTTCAAATAGGGCTTCGTACCCGTATGGAGACGCCTCCGATACGGTGGGATACGTATGGGATACGACTTAGACGTATCCTGTTAATTAAAAACAATTTTTTTATTTCAGATACGGCATGAATATGGCTGGGATACGGCCATCAATAAATTTAAAATTTTAAAAAAAAAAAATTTTGGAGACCCAGGGGTGTGACCCTATCTCTTTTGTTTTTGCATGGACATGGTCTTCTTTATATTTTGCTTAGTGGATGATAGGATGACTTTCTTTTATGCTTAGTGGATGATGAGATGACCCTATTTCTTTTGCTTTTACATGGACATGATATTTTTTTATACATAAACAGAACTGAACCAATGGTTATTTTGTAATTATAATACAAAATATAGTATTATTATTATTTTTTTTAAAAATTATAGACGTATCCTGACCGTACCCATATCCTGTTTTTTTAGGTTCTATCGTATCACCGTATCCGTATCGTATCGTACCCGTATCCATACCCGTGCTTCCTAGGTTGTGGGAATATAAACTATAAAGGTGAAAATGGAGCAATTTGATAAAATGAAACATTGGAACTGAAAGAGTTTTACTATAGATTTCCTAACTGTTGGGATTAGCCAGTATCATTTAAACTTTGTGAAAATCTTTTGTACTTTTAAAAACACATGTTTTTTTTGTAACATAGTTACCAAAGCGAGAAGCAAAAACGAGAAGTGAAGCGAAAGCGGGAAACAAGGTTAAAAAAACCATTGGGAAATGGAAAGCGAGAATTAGATATGGGCGCGACACTCCCTCCCATTATATTAGTATGGGGCCTAAGGGCATCCATTCTTTAGATTTTTTTTTCTGACATGAGATATGTATGGAGAAATAGGTGCCTCAGGTTCCAATTGATCGATACTTGCTAAATGTCAGCACCCTAAGCTATAGACCCAGGTCCATTACATGACCCTTTTTGACCACTAAATGAGACATGATGGAAACAAGTTTTCAGTAAAGAGACTTTGGAAACGAGCTTCTAAGGAAGCGAGAACAAAACCCACCCTGTACATAGCTTCTCTGCAACTATGGTTTATACTATGGGTATTATGTCATTTTGCATTTAGTCTTATAGTTATATCTGGTTTGGGCCATTTGGCAATGGAAGAACTTACATAAAACAGTAAAATTTCAAGTTGTGAATGTTAAAACAAGAAACCAGCAAAACTAGGTTATAAATCATTCACAAAAATCATTGGATAGCAGTTTTTATAAGACTACAAAACCAGCAATAACTACGGGGAAATGGAATTGAGAATCTCAAATAGGAAATTAACTTAAGGACCTGAATCTTGACCATAAAAATGATCAAGACTTTTAATAACTACAACAATAGATGAAATATCAGGCTCCAAAATTACCAAGAAGACCGTTAAATCTCAAATTCTAATGGAATGCGATTGAATCCAGAGATTGCACAGGATTGAAGCTAAATGGAGGGGTTTGATTCATAATTTAGCAGTTATGAATTTTGAATTATGATATAAGCGAGCAGAGGAGGATCAAGAATAGAGAAATTGCTAGAGAGATATTTCTCTGGTTTCATCTTCTCTACCATTAAAGGAGGTATCGAGATTTAGAGAGCTTTCAGATTCTAACTTCCAACGAAGGGTATCGAGAAGGAAAGACGGGATTACGCAAAGCCCCTTTTGTTTCGAAACAAAGTCACCTAGGAAATCGTCATCTATTGATTCTATTGTTATAATAAAATTAATAAACAAATTGCAACAAAAATCGGGTCCATAGCTCAGTGGTAGAGCATTTGACTGCAGATCAATCAAGAGGTCACCAGTTCGAACCCGGTTGGGCCCTATGATTTTAATTAATTTCTGGGTACTATTGTCTTTTCAACTGATAGCCTCTAGGTTCGTTCTTCAGACTCAGAGGTTCGACCCTCTTTTAATTTAATTCAGATTATTTCTATGAATTTCCAGAATTTTACACTCTTTAGTTTTATATGGTTTCTTTTCTATTGTTAATCCATTTTGATTTTATGAGTGTTGATGAGTTTGGTTGAATTTTTTAAAAGCTGGTTTGTTCTTACATTTCAATTTCTTCTTCATCTTGGTCTGAATTCTATTTTTGAATTTGCAAAATTAGTTTATGTTTATTTGGTGGCAAACCCTGTTTTGATCTATTAACGAAGAAGAAAAGAAAATTTTGGGATTTCTTTTTACAAATGAGATGATAATGGAATAGGGTAGTTCGTGCTTCCAGGCGGGCACTAAATCTTTTTAAGCTTTCATCAAGAAATGAACAAATGTTTCAGAACTAAACTGGATTATTATATGATTTTCCAATTCAATTGATTAGTGATTTCCATTGCTATTATTTCAATTAATCCTATGGAAATGATAATCATTATTTGGTTGCTTATCCTCTTTTGATATGTATTTTGTAATTGTACCAAATAAATTATGTCCATATGTATTGGGAATAAATGATGCAAATAATATATTGAGATTTGCAGTGTTGATAATGAAAAATACAATATCAAAATGATTAAGCCTGCTATAATTATATTGAGCCTTAATCTTGAGGTTTTTGTATGAGGAATTTGGAATTCTAGGATCCTAGAAAATTTATGAGCAAGATGTGGATGTCCATCCAATATTGATCAAGATGATGATTACCCATATGGATTTCAAATTGTGTTGAGAGATCCTAGATGCACTATCCATCTCAATTGGGGTGGAATTATCTAAGTGATTCCACATTTTTATTGGATGGAGTTTTCACTTTTACAATATTGACAAATATGTTTTGTCTAGTTGGATTTGGTTTCTATTTATCTTAATTGCAAGAGAAAACCTTATGTCTGATTTACACGAGGCTTATAATTAAGGTTATAATCAAGGGTCTAGAGTTGAGAAAAAAACATTGATCTGAATATATATTGCGTTTGTATTTGGTGGATAAAGGTAACAGCTTCATCAAGTTGATTCCTTCATAAATTTAAATCCTTTGAGATTTTACTGAAGACATTCCCTTTCGGTACACTAATGGGTCTCTGTTCTTATGAGGGTTGAACTGATGGATAACAGGTTCAGAGAGTTCATGTTGAAAGAGTTCATCGACATTCAGAACTGTCTTCAAATGATAAAGCAGGGATGTCAGCCCAAAGGAGTGTCACATGTCTAGTGCGGCTGAGACGGGACAAGATGGCCGGTGAGAATTGGCGATCAAGAAGAAAGAAAATGATAGTCATTGAAGTATGCTAGGCTTGCAAAGGTTCTTGAACACAACGAAGCATTCCTCCGTGAAGCTGCAAACGCATTGACATCGCTAACTGAAGTTTTTGGAGAGTATATGGAAGTAGAAGGTAGGAACAGACCCACTGTCCGAGAGAAGCAGCAGACTTTGGCTTCAATGATGCGTAAGAAAGTAACACCGAAAGATATCTTAGGGCAGAGGCTTTTGCTTTTGAACAACTGTGCTAGGGATGCAACTATAAGATAGTTGGCATAAGGGGAGGATCCAAATTATAGAGAAGCTTATCCAAATCAATGGTAGATGAATGGGTTAATACATTGACAATAAATGTGCTGCAAATTCAAGTTTGTTGGTTGGGACTTGATCAACATTGGATGTTTGAGCTCAAAATTGATCGTATATAGCGCATAGAATTGCTGATCTTTGGCCAAAGTTCTTTATCTGTTTGATGTATAGGAATGTGATCTTTTTGTAACAAGCATTTTTGATTTATTAGAGAGAAATGTAGAAAATACTAATAATTTGCAGGATATTGTTTTATCATAGAGCTATGGGTGTTGTGCAAAGTGTCTTGTATTCAGCTTGTTACAACTTTAGTACTGCTCACCTAGATCCCTCTTTACACTCAAACCCAACTCCACTATTTTTTTGGGGATTTCCTAATTTTATTAGGAATTTCTTTCAAGTTATTATATGTTTCTGACCGGTTATATAATATAATATTTGGTTTTTTTTTTAAAAAAAATTTGGAGAGAACAAAATTGTATAAGAGGCTACGATATAGTGATCTTTGTAATCTCTTTGCTTTAACTAGTGAAGAAGGCGACCTCTCCGGGAACGAATTCAACTTCGTCTGACTGACATGCAATTACTAGTGAGTCTATCCATATCCCAATTCCACTAATTTAATGTTCCTTTGGTGTCATTGATGTGAGCACGGGGTTTTACTCACTAAATGGTTTAACTGAGAGTCGCCACCTATTCATTTTGAGGGATAGGTCCTGAGATGGTTTGATTTGGATAAGGCAAATGATCTAAGTAGAGATTAGGGTAAGTGGTTCGGTTAAGTCCTGGGGAAGGTGTGAGGCACCCTAGGACCCTCATTTTACAAATGGTTACCTACTCCCTGAATTTAAGCCAAATTTAGTCTCAATATTAATTAGAATGCTTAAGTGTTTAATTAAATGCTAATCCAAGAAAGATAAAAAGCTAGCTAGACTAGGGTCGAATCCGAGTTGGATTGCCTACGTATTCACATTGGGGTGAGATCAGACCAAGCGTAGTTCTGGCACATGAGCCCGTGCCAAGGCTAGGGGTGTGTGTGTGTGTCCATAGGGTGGTCAAGGGTCTAGTCCAAAGGTTAGGGTTTGGTTGACCGGGTTGGTCAAGTACAAGGTCAAGTCTAACCGCGGTTAGAAGGAAGTTAACCATGGTTAGATAGGCTAACCAATGTTAAGAAAGCAAGCAAGCATGTTTTTGGTCATTTTATATTTTCTGGATTTTTTTTGGTATTTTTGGGAATTTTCCAAAAGTTGGGCAACTTAACCATGGTTAAAATCTAATCGGGGTTAGGTTAACCCCGGTTAAGAAAGCTAAACATCCTATTTTTTGGTTTTTTGCATTTTAATACTGTTTTTGGGATTTTATGGGATTTTATGAAATTTTACCAATGGTTAAGTATCTTAACCATAGTTAAAAAAGGTAATCAGGGTCAGGTTAACCCCAGTTGGGCAAGTGGTCAGCTCGGGAGTGGGGCACATGACATGTGACAAGGGCTTGGACTGGTCTAGGCTTGGTCTAGGTCCAATCTAAAGCCCATTTTAAAAAGAATGCAAGGAGTGGCGGTAAAATGTTTACCACCATTCCTAACATAACACTGTTTAGAATGGCGGTAGACATACTACAGCCATTAACTGTACTTCCTGAAGCTGGTTTGCAGGGGCGATGGTCGAGCTAAAGTGTTAACCCCTGGGATCAAGGACCCTCAGGGTTGATCAAGGAAATGTCCAAAGTGTCCTGGGCCCTTGGGTGGGCCCTAGACTGGTTTATAATGGGCCCCATAAAGGCCTGTAACACATTACACATAAACTGGTAAAATGACAGTAGACCATCCACTGTCATTTAGACAGATTCCAAACCAAGCTAATCTTAACCATGGTTAAGGGGTCTACGAGTCCTGTAAAACTCAAGGGAGGTAGAAGACAAGTCAGGGAAGCCCACTACGGCCCTAGATTGGACCAGGGCCCACCGAAAACATGAAATAAAGTTGCTGCAAAGAGGAGTCCAGTAATGGCGGTGATCAGTTTACCACCATTATTGGAAATATCCAGAAATCGAATTTTACCCATAGGGGTTGCACTGTGGCCACTCCAGGGGACTCCCCATGAACTGAGGACCCTCTAGAGGGCTAAGGGATGAACCAAGCACGCTTAGGGGCCTTGAGCCAAGATACTAACCCTCTAGAGGGTCCCACATACCTATGGCAAGGTAGGGGGGCCTCTGTCCTTGGGTTGGAGAGCTATAAAAATGAAATGACAGAAATAAAATACCCCTGGATATGGACCAGGGGTTTACAATGATAGAACAGTAAACAAAATGGGTAGGGTGAGATCCTACCCTCACGGCTTGGCCTGCACAGTGGTAGAATAGTAGTGGTGGCAGGATGCTTAGTCATGGTGCAAGCGGTGAGGTCTGTGGAAGCCTGATATGTCTTCTGAGGAGCTTAGGGGTGACTGAGATAGGTCTTGGAATGAAGATATGGGTTGGGTTTTAACTGGCCGAAATCTTGTAGAGCTTGGATATGAGGTTTTTGGAATAGAGTCTAAGCTTGATGGGGGTGGGTTTATATAGAGTTTAAGACCTTGGGGGTAGTTTAGGGAATGACCTTGGCGTGGGGAACACTGTGGAGGCAGAGCTCAGGGGGTCTAGGGGTGCCAGCATACAAGTTTAACTGGGTATTGGCGGTAGATGATCTACCGCCATTCCCATTTCAGTGTAAAATGGGAATGGCGGTAGATAATCTACCGCCAATTCCTGGTTTATACTAAAATGGGCCAGACCCCTTATCACTTGGCCAGTGCACCTGAACCCTACGCCTATATGGGGTAATGGCGGTAATGCCATTACCGCCATTAGAGATTTTTCAAAATAAAGGTGGTGGCCCCCACACTAATGGCTACAAGGCTTTGTGGGCCCATGTTTGGGCCCACAAGAGGGTTTGGGCTGATTTTTGATGATCTTGGGCTTAGCTACGGGCTTTGGCCTTAACCTAGAGTTTAACTAGGGTTAGGTCTAGGTTTAGGGTTTGGGCTTGGTCTAGGGTTAGAGTGAGTTAACCATGGTTAACTTTGATTAACCAGGGTTAAAAGGGGGTGTAAAAATGGGGTGCTGACAACTGACATAAGAGATGTCCTTTCTAGTCTATCTGTTTCCATTTCTATATATAGAAAGTTAAGAAAACATCATATAATAATCAAGATATTGCAATAGAAAAGAAAAAAAAAGGAAGTCCCAAATGGCTAAACCATGTAATTCCTGCTTGTTCTTTGTGGCAACCTCTCTATGGACATAGCCCACATAAGGTGATCTTTGTGTTTATG